ATTGCTAATGAACTGTTGGAGTCCAGAAGAAGAGAGGGGACCCCAGGTGTTTTGTGTAAACTGGATATTGAAAAAGCTTATGGTCATGTTAACTGGCACTGCTTGGATCTGGTTTTGGAGAAAATGAATTTTGGGCAGCTTTGGAGAAACTGGATCAGAGTTTGTGTTAAGACTCCTAAGTTCTTCATCTTAATTAACGGGCAAACGACGGAGTTTTTTGAAAGTTCAAGAGGTTTGAGGCAAGGTGACCCTCTCTCTCCCCTACTCTTCATTTGTGTCATGGAAATTTTCTCTCTTTTTAGCAAGAAGGCTGCTGAGAATGGGCTTTGGGAGGGCTTTGCAATTGCTCTGAGAAAAGAAAAAGTCAATATTCTTCAATTTGCTGATGACACCTTATGCTTTGTTGATCCTTCTCCTAATCAACTGGAGGTGGTGCTTGGAATTTTGAGTTGGTTTGAGGTGGTGTCTGGCCTTAAGGTTAATTTGAGTAAATCTCAGATTATCTTTGTAGGTCTTATTAAAAATCTAGAAGTTTGTGCATAAGTTATGGCTTGTCAAACTGCCCATCTTCTGGTCAAGTACTTGGGGCTCCCTCTTGGAGCTAAATATACTTCCTCTCAGATTTGGAATCCAGTGGTTGAAAGAATGGAGAAGAAATTGGCTTCCTGGAAGGCTAAATACCTTTCTTTTGGGGGGAGAGTGATTTTGATTAAGAGTACTCTTTCTAATTTACCTACTTACTACCTCTCCCTATTTCCTATTTCTTCCAAAGTGGCTAACAGAGTGGAACAACTACATAAAAACTTTCTCTGAAGAGGTTGGGAGGAGGAGTAGAAGGTTCATGTTGTAAACTGGGATCAAGTGTGTCTTCCTAAGGAAGTTGGAGGGTTGGGAATAAGAAAATTGAAGAAATTCAATTCTGCCCTCCTGTGTAAATGGCTTTGGAGATTTGCAAATGAAAGAAATGCTTGGTGGAGAAAGCTGATTGTGGACAAATATGGAGTGGACTGGGGTGATTGGAGATCCAATTCTCCTATTTCAAGAGGGATAAGTTCTATTTGGACAGGTATAATGAATAACGCTAGTTTATTTGAGGAAGGAATTGGTTACAACTTGGGAAATGGGGAAAGAATCAAATTTTGGAAAGACACTTGGTGTTCTGAAGTGTGTCTGAAAGATGCCTTTCCTCTCTTGTATCAAATTTCTGTAAATCAGGACTCCTCGGTGGCTGAGAATTTCAACGTGGATGGTAGCTCTTTCAGTTGGAACCTAACTTGTAGGAGGCGCCTCTTTGACTGGGAAATTGAGGAGTATGCAATTCTGTTGGGCCTGCTCCAGAACCAGAGGATTGACCCAAACATGGAGGATGCTTGGAGATGGAAATGGGAAGCCAATGACATGTTTTCTGTTAAGTCTATGTTCAGTAAGTTGATAAGTTCAGGTCAGGAAAACTTTCCGGCTAGGCAGATTTGGAGCTCATTCAGTCCTCCTAAAGTGAAGTTTTTGCTTTGGACAATAGCTTTAAATAAATGTCTATCCAAAGTTAATCTAGTGAAACGTGGCATTCAGATTTCAGACATGTCATGTGGCTTATGTGGTGGGGTAGTAGAAACTACTGAACATCTGGCCTTACATTGCCCAGTCTCGAATTATATTTGGAGGCATTTTCTCCAACCTTTGGAAATCAGCTGGGTAATGCCAATTTTTGTTAAGGATCTGCTGTTGTATTGGCAGATTGAGGGTCTCAGCAAGAAAGGTATCTTGGTTCGGAAGACTATACCGGCTGCTGTGCTTTGGACTATCTGGATTGAAAGAAATAACAGAATTTTTCAGGGCAAAGCTAAATCTTCAGAGGAAATGGTGCAGAAAGCTGTGGGTAAACTTCTGTCATGGGTGTCAGCATCGGAGTTGTTTAAAAATCAGAATTTGAGTCTGTTGTTTAGATCTCAGAACTGGTTGTATCTGTAATTTGTGGTGGCTCTAGGCAGCCTCTAATGGCCTAGGCTCCTTTGTACTGGCTCTTACTTTAATAAATTACCTTACCTTTTCAAAAAAAAAGTGAAAATCTAAAATAATAAATATATTATATGTAGAATATAATTATACCTTATTTTATTGATAAAATACACATTTATATCTATACCTATACATTTATATGTATATATTTGTAATTTGCTGCTATGTCATGTCTGACCTGTTCAACCCAGATGGTTGAACCGGTGTCCTGTGATCTGGAGGCAAAAAATGGTTCAGCCTCTAGGTAAAACATTGGCTCTTAGTGGTCCCTCTGATTGTTTCTTTGTGTGGGAGGCAACTTCTGGTGGTATTAATACTTTTGACAGGATTTTGAGGAGAAGGAAGGGGCATTTATACTTGGTGTGATGTTTTTGAAGGATGCAGATTCCAGCAACTAGCCTCTTATCAATAGTGAGGTAGCTTGCAGCCTTTTGCAACATTTCCTTGATATCCTCTTTAACAGTAGTTTTTATTGGGTTCCGCTCAATTATTTGATTGATTTTCTTAATCAGTGACTGGGGTGTAAGTTGGGTAAAAGAGGCTCCCTTTTTGGTCAGGCTGTCATCCATGCCATGTGGTGTGTATTTGGAGGAGCATAGCAAAAGAATTTTTTAAGACAAAAGTTCCTCTTTGGAGGAATTATTAAGGAGAACCACTTTCCAAATCAACTCTTGGGTATTAGCTACAAAGCAGTTCAGATGCATCTCTTTAGGAAATTTAGAAACTCGGGGCAGGTTCCAAGTTCTTCTTTGGCTGCTGCTAACAGTGTTAACCTGGCCCCCTTTGGAGAACATTCTTCAGTTCAATGGCAGCTGTGTTAGTCTGTCAAGCCATAGGGATCAGGCTGGCATTGGGGACATGTTTCATAATTCCATTGGTGAGCTTGTTTGGTCTGAGGATCATGGTTTCTCTGAACATCTGTTCAGTGGTGGTGGAAGGAGAAGCAAGGAATCAGTTGAATGCAGAACCTAAGTGATGGTCCTTGGAGATTCTCTCACATCTTCAATGAGATTAGGGAAATCTTGTCCCGGGTAAATTGCCATTTCAGGTGGATCCTTCGAGAGCTGAATAGCATGGCGAATGCTCTTGCACAATCTGGGGTGGATAGGGATTCCTTGTATAGTAGTGATTCTTCTTTGCCTCGTTGGATGGGAGGGTCTTCTTTTTGGTTTTTCAGGCTGGGTGATAGCTTATACATCTGGTTGTAAATTTTGTTTAATGAAAATAATCTCTCCTCAAAATAAAAAATAATTAAATAAAATAGAATAAAATAAAAATTGAACAAAAGGATTCCGTTTCCAGCCCTATAACATGAACATTCTATTTATTTATTTTATTGTGTACTTGTTTCAGTGACCTTGGCTTATACTCAGGTTTTATGTAATTATCTGTTTCAGTCATGTTGGAGCCTTACAAATTACAAACTTTCCCAATCTCAACCTGAGATGCTAAATTATGAAGCCGTAGAAATTGTTTTTCTTTTATATTTTATGATGATAAAGCAGTCAGAAAGAAAACAGAAATACCATGTAGGGAAGATTACCCATAAGGGGTTGACACGAACCAGGCTTGTACTGATTCAGTACCACCCCCCAGGCTTGCCCCCTCGTGGTGCACCCTTGCATACCTCACAACTTACTTTGCACCACACCCCAGAATATCCCCTTTTTACCTTGCTGCACATACTAGGGCTGCCCCACAGAGGTGACAGGGGCCCATGTGGTAGTTTGTAGGCACTCTCCCCATGTGCATTTTATGTGCATGGCATGTGTTTGATATAATGCCTTGCAAATAAGTATACATATAAATTCCATCTGCCTGGTTCACTTGACTTGGCTGAGTTGACACAATGAGTTGATTCATCGTAGACCCGGACCAGATCAAAACCAGTCCGCATCCAGATTTTCCAGACTCTAATAACCCAGAATTGGTCTGGTCTAATTTGGCTCAGACCTTCATGGGCCTGGATGAAGGCCCAATCAAGCCCAATTTAGGTGATTTTTCAAGGTTTCAAGGGTATCATTTTGGGGCCAATTCAAGTCTCTGGACACCAAGTTTTGGCTCATCTAAATCTATTTTGATGTTTTTTTTCTAGGTAATTGTAGGAAAGTGTAAAATTAATTTTGGCATAATTAGGACATTGTTTTCAGTACTTGGACTATTATTTCAAGTGTTTTTAATTCTGGTTTATTTCATCTTCTGGAGTTCAGTTCAAAGACTTTTGAGTACCAGTTCAAAACCCAATTAATGTCTAACCAAAGTTATATTTCAGACTATTGCTGGGGAGGGGATAATAATACTTTTCTCCTATTAAATGGCTTAATCCAAGTGCTTTTTTTATCTAGTTTAGGCCTAGGGTTTCTATTTCCTGTCAATGTATCTTAAAGTGTTGGTCCAAGACCTATTAGTGGTTTATTTGATGCATTGTTATATTTCAGTCTTTCTCGGTAGCCAGAGTTACCACAGTTTTTCCTTGAGCTTAATATGATTAAGCCTTGTAGCTTATTTCAATTATAGTTTGTTTCCATTAGTAAAAAATGTTCAAATAATTAGTTATTCATGTAGGGTTTGAAGAATTTGCTGGCTTCTGGAGCTGATAAAGATGAACAAGATTCTGAAGGAAGGACAGCTTTGCATTTTGCATGTGGTTATGGTGAGGTACGAAGGTTTGTGGTAGACAAACTTAATTTGGTTATTGAAAAAAAAAATAGCTTTAGTTATTTATAAAAAAACAGCTTTAGTTGGTTACAATTTCAGCCTAGCATGTTTCCGAGTTTCGTCAAGGAATTGGGAACAATTTTGTATCTGGTCAAATTTGATGCACAGCAGGGCAGTTCTAATATCTTGTCATGCATATAGTACCGTGTACTAGATTTTGGTGCTGACAACCAAGTTGTCATGACCATGGTTCTAAAAGGCCCTGAGGCAAGGCGATGAGGTGGAACCAAAATGCCTGATTTGCTTCAGTGTCTTGTGCATGTGGCTAAAGGCTTATGCCTCAATTTTGTGAGGCATATGCCCTCACGCTTCATTTTGATGAGGCATATGACAAAAGATATATTAATATATAATACTTCCTGAAATTAAACAAAACTTTATTCGGATGGTTACAAATAAAACAAGACAGTTTGAACTAAAAAATCTCTCAATATCTTTTTTGTTTGATAATTAATCACTCATAATATCTTTCTTCAACCAAAAATGTTTCTTTGCTTTTCTCTTACTAAATATAAATCTTAATGTGCTACTCTGTCTTAATGTACTACACGTGGGGGAATATCATCTTCATTCTTTGGTTCATCCATGACACCTGACAATGGGAATCATCAATCTACAAACTAAAAATGATGACCATGATTTTTCTTCAAATCAGAAAATAAAAAGTATAAATAGAAAATTTAAAAGTTAAACAAAATTGTTAAACACTTCTTGTCCATTTTCAATTGCAAGCCATGTAGTTCTAATAATAAAGCTATATATGATGAAAAATATTCATTAAAAAACTTATAAATTATTTTAGTATATGTAAATTAAGTAAAAAGATTGTTTTTTAGTAAGTTAAGTAAAAGGTTATAAGCATAAAATAAATTGTCTAAAACATGGGATTCATATTAAAACAAATATACATGTGATGAAGTAAATATATAAGTTGACTACGAAAGAAGTAAATTATGCTCTCAGCATACATAAAAAAACATGGTAAGTATAGTATACTCAACCATATGGGTTGAATTAATAAGATTTTTTTACCAAAAACAGAAATTAAGACTTAAATATGCTTAATATACTTAAAATAAGTATATGTGAAAATAATTAAGTACAAAAACCATTTAATTTAATTAGAGAAGGTTATAAACATAAGACAAAATGCAAAATACCTTTTCAAAAGCATACTTTTAAATTAAAAAGAATGTTTGTAATAAAGATGGAAAGATGTAAATTGGCTATAAAAGAATATCATCGCTCTCAGCATCTAAGCCTTGTCCCTACTATATGGGTCCAGCTACATGAATCCTGTTTCGCCATTCCATTCTATTCAGTGCCAATATTATATATAATATATACTTTGAGACCCCTCAAACCTCCTTGAAGTTTGTGCATTGCCTCTCCAACTCCCAACTGCCTTGTCTATGACTTCATTTCAAAACCTTGGTCATGACAAACATCATCATCAAAGCCTTTATCCCAACTATATGCTCTTGACTACAAACACCCAAGAGAAATTTACAGGTTCAGTTTTGACAAAGGGATCAGTATTGTTTTTCTTGGAGAGGCATTTAGCTGACTGCACAAGCTAAAATGCTGTTTCATCTTATTAACCAGATAAAAAACTTAAGGGGGATGGAGTAGTAGTTCTGGCCTTGGTAACTTTTTATTTTGTTTTCTACAATAATTGACGGCAATGTTTTAACTCTGAGTTCAGGTCATATATTTGTTGTCTTAAATGAAAAGGTATTAAATCTAGTTTGCTCTTGTCGCACCAGGTTAAGTGTGCTCAGGTCCTTCTTGAGGCTGGAGCAACAGTTGATGCTTTAGATAAGAATAAAAACACTGCTCTCCATTATGCTGCTGGCTATGGCAGAAAGGAGTGCGTAGCTATTCTCTTGGAAAATGGTGCTGCTGTGTAAGAGAAGCCATCTCTCACCCAAAATTGGTTTCTCATGTTATTACCTCTGCTCACTCCCATGGTTGTTTTACTGCAGCACTCTTCAGAACTTGGATGGAAAAACACCTATTGATGTTGCCAAGCTGAACAATCAACAAGAAGTACTGAAGCTGCTTGAGAAGGATGCATTCCTATAATGAGTGGGCACCGATTGTGGTCTACTACATATATTTTCTCATTGCCGTTTGTCTTGGTTGTCACTCTTTGTTTACAGCTACAATTAAGGGTTGTTAGAAACCTGGCTGCATGAACCGTTTCTTATGTCTTGTTTTTGTTAATGTGGAATGGTTTGAAATGTGCTCTATGAGATGTCTTAGTTGATACCTGATTTTAATAATAACGTTATGATTCTCGAAGGATGGCTTAGGGTGGTAAGATAGCTACCTAATGTGATGAGAACAATGCTTTGCAGAATTTCTTATTACAATCTTTCCTTTGCTTCTCTGCAATGTCAACTAGCAGCATTAGCGAGAGTTCTATTTTAGCTAATGACCTGGTTCCATGCTCATAACCATTTTCTAACCTAGGTTGAAAGTATTAGCATCAAAAATAGTATAAAAAAGACAATTTTGAGATACTTATCAAGAATTCCACACCACAAATACATTAGTACTTGATGAGGGCGGATTTGGCCCTCCAATGACATGACACCTGGCACCTCATGCCAATTAAGTGCAGTCTCTTGACAACTAGGCAGTTAGCCACAGGTAGCTTGCCACTATGTCATAGGTGACTCTTTCGTCGTGTCATCAAGCACCTATAGTGAGCCATCCAAGTGCCAACCGCGTGCCTTCATGGTRTCAACATGTGTGTCATGGGTGGGCTTTGCTTGTATTTTGTAAGGGGGACCGCCAATGGCGTTATTGTAATTACTTAGTATGCTTTTCCATCATTTTGATGTTTCCTATTGTCACTCCCCCAAAAGCTTAACGTACTCTTTGAGGGGAGGTAGGTAGTCGAGTGAG